GTCTTCAAATATAGTCCCATTGAGGGGTGGGGCTCCAACAGGGATTGGGGGACACAGTTCAGTCCACAGTGGCAAAGAACATGTGGTGAGGGATGGAGAAGGAATGCCTGTGAGATGGCCGAGTAGAGGTGCTGAGTTGGAAGCGGGGTCCGTGGGCTGGCTCAGAGGAGAAGCTCACGTGTTGTCAGGTGCACACAGAATTGCCAAAAGCACCGCGAGTGGGTGGGTCCATCTAGAGACTCAGGGTGGGCGAGGGTTCGTTAGGTCGGTTACTGCGCAGAGACACGTCCCTTCCGCACCTTGTAGGTCATTGTGACCTTGGCGAGAGCAGGCTCTGAAGCAGGAGGGTGGAGACCAGTTTAGAGTGGGTTGAATGGTGAGTGAGAGGTGAGAGTGGGGGTGGGGTGTGGAAAAGTCCTCCACGCCCATGCACATTAGTCAGCCGGCCACGTGCCAGATGCTCAAGTGACCGCCGTGTGTCTCCCTGGCCCAGGTGCCGGAGCTCGGCCTCTGAGCGCCGCAGGCCAGACCTGCCTCGTAGAAGCTGGGTTCTCGTGAAGGGGGACAGGGGCAAGCACGAGGCGTCCTGCGGGGAGCATGGCATGCTCCGGGAGCTCTGTGTTCTGTACGTAACGGAAGGCCTCTCTGATCAAGTGACAGTGGGGTAGGAACCTGAATGAAGTGAACATTCTGGGTGTCTGGAGAGGGGCATTCCAGGAGCAGGGGGTAGCTAGTGAGTGAGAGAGATTGAGTGGAGACTGGTAGCAGGCAAGGGTCAGATCTCACAGGGCGGCCACATGGCACAGGCAGTGGCACATTGTCCTCTCGACTGGGGACTGTTGCAGTTTCAGGAGGGGAGTGAGTGAAGTGACTGAACCTGAAGCAGCAGGACTGGCCGGTGTGGGGAGGGGGTCCTGTGGTGGCCGGTGGGATGAAGGCTCCGTGAGCCTCGCCCTTTGTCATCATTTTCATTGGGGGAGCAGAGCCATGTAGACCACCTCAGTGTGAACCCCGCTCTGCTGCTTCCACGGTACGTGAACTGAAGCCAGTGTGACTGCTTAGCTGCTGCTGCGTGCATCCCTCGGCTGTAACATGAGGAAGTGGGGTGCCCACCTCCTGCTGTGGGGAGTGCCATGTAGGGTAACAACGGAACCACCTGAGCCGTCCCTGGCGCAGTAGGCCCTCGGTGACACAGTGGCAGTCCTCGTGGCTCTGGCTGCGCTGCAGTGTCCCGCCTGTCGGTCCGTTTCTTTCTGGGCCTGAATGCCGAGTTCCTCCTCACATCCTGAGCTCCCGGCACAGCACAAAGGGCTCGTCAGAAATGTTTGAAATGTGTATGTAAACGTTTTAGTTTTATTGTCATTTACTCAAAAGAGAAATACGCATACAAACACATTTTAACAATTTCAAACCACCCAGAAGTGTGTAAAGTTACAAGTGAAAGAACCCTTTCCGCAGTCCCACCCTGTTAGAAATCATTTTAACACTTCGCTATGTTTTCTTCCAAACTTTTATTCTTTTATCCTGTTCTTATACAAATATGGACTTAAGTGTGATCATCCTACTAGATTTCTAAGATTAGTTTCTGGAAGCAGCAGCAGATTTCAAGACTATTCTGAGTACCTTAATGTGACGGCTCATTTGGGAGCAAGACCTTGAAGTTTAGATCAACTGTAGGTGAGCTGGACCTGGGGACGCCAGGGGACGCTGCTCAGAGCTCAGGCCCTCCCGCTGCAAACACGCAGCCTCGTCCAGCCTGAGCCACTGGTCTTGGCAACCCCACCATCCAAATAAACCCAGTGGGCTCCACGCTCGATGTCTTGGTGTCTTCGTCCTACCCTGTCCCTCTGGGAGACTCTTGGGCACTGCAGCTCTGCATGGCGGGCTGGGAGCATTATTTTTACGATGCAGATTTCTAGATTCATTCACAGAAGAGGGGGGAATGCAGTAAGATGATGTTGGTCTATAGTTTTATTTCTTCTTTCTGGATAGGTGATGTCACCAGAACAAAAGATGTCAACGTTCAGCCCTGTTTCTACTGCTTCTTTGGCCTCAAGAGGTGAAGACTTGGTGCTTGAACTGTCTGAGGACTCCCTGAAAACAAGGACCTTGCCGGGTGACCTCTTAGCGGGGGGCTGTCCCCACGTGGCTCTATCTACCCTTCCATTTCTGAAAAGCCCTGGAGCCAGATTCTGTGCACACCCCCCTCCCCGTCCCCTCCCCCTGCAGGTCCCACCCCTTTCTCCCTGGTGGCCTTTCTGTCACAGGTGGCTCTCACGTCCCAGCACAGCACTCCCGCCTCTCTTGGCCCTCTGCCTCCTCTCAGCTTCTCCTCACACCTCCTGGAAGGTCTGCTCCACCACAGTGCTTGTCACGGCTGTAACGCCACAGCCCGGCCTCTCGCCCTCCCCTCCCAGGGGAGCGAGTCATCGGATGTCTGATCGCACCGTTGGCTGGCCTTGACCCAAGCCCTCCATTTCTGCCCCTCAGGGAGCCCTCCGACCGTGTCCGTGTCCCTGTCCATGTCCGTGTGCTCCGGCCTCTGGTTTCCTGCACCTTGGCTCCGCCCCACGACTCCTTTCCTGCCTCCTGGGCCCCTCCCCCCACTTGCCTTCCCTCGCTCTTCCTGTAACCCCCTCAGTACAGCCCCATCCTGAAATCTTGTGGGTGAGGCTGTAGAGTTACTTGTCCTGGGTGGATGACACAGAACAGAGCTCTGTCCTTTATGGCTGATGGGCCTGGAGAGGGTTAGTGGCGTGCCTGGTAGAGGGAGCGAGTCAGATGCCCACTGGCAGCCACACCGGGAAGCTTCCTGCAGCGGGGTTTGACCTGTTCTGTCCGTGTTGCTTGGTGGACTCTCTAGAATCCCAACCTGACACTAAAAGAATGCCGTCGGCTCCCTGCGGCTCTGGCGGCTTCGGTGGTCCCCAGAGCTTCCTCCCACCACAGAGAGGCTGTCAGGGAGGTCGGTTGTGTAAAGCAGATGAAAACTGCACGTTTGCTCAGCCCATGCAGTGTCACTCATGCTTTTATTCCTCAACAAATACTGTTGCTTTCTACATTTTCAGGAATATATCTATTACTAACACTCAGCCAAAATCTGCCAAAACATGAGTTTACCAGGATTGAACTCTTACCACACACCAATAGTTCAAAATAAGGCCTTCTTAAAGATTTTTTTTTTTTAATTGGGGAACTGAGGGGATGGGAACAGTGCTGGGGAATTGGGGGAAGGGGAACAGACAAGTTGCTGTCGTTTTGTTCTTCAGTCTAGTTGTGGAGGACGTTGCTTCACTGGCCCAAGTTGGCACCATCATTGCGCTCTTCCCGGGCGAGGCAGATCAGTCGCCGGCTTCTGGACGGCCGCTCACGGTGGCTGCTGGCCGCTCACTGCGGCTGCTGGCTACACACGGTAGCCCATGGCAACCCACTGCCACAGGGGCTGCAGCCTACACCGTCACCGGCAACTCACCGCAGCCCAGCTCCAGGTTGAGCTGTTGTTCAGCATCTTAGCTGTGGAGGGCAGTGTCACTGGCCCTCATATGTGGGATCTGAACCGGGGCCCTCTGGCGTCCCAAGCCAGTTCTTAACTAACGTGCTACTCGGCTGGCCCCAAAATAAGGCCTTCTTGATGCTGAAGGTCAATATTAATTCATGAGTGTCACAGAAGTGTGAAGGAAGTTACAATCACACAGCCAGAAACATGCCATGGGCTGCAGGCTGGAGAAGGCGTGTGAACTTGGAGACAGAACTGGGCTGCCAGCCGCGGTCATGTCACCTGCAGGCCTCGCCTCTTGCTGCCCAGTGAGGGCACCAGGCGGGCTTCTCAGCTGAAAGCACTCTGAGCGCCTGAGGGCTGTGTGAACAGGCGTGGCAGTGGGGGACAGTCCTTAGCTAACGGGACAGGAAAGGACGGTTTCATGTTCACTGAGCTTAGAAAAGTTTCAGTCTATTAATTCAGCTCTGAAATGTGATTTTTTTTTTGTTTTAAGATTAAAACCATTACATTTATTTAAAAAGAAATTATGTGATTTTTTTTTTCCAAGGCAGGTTGGTACTTTTTGCTCTTTTGTATAGATACTCACTGTTTTCTAGAGCCTGGATGATGACCTTAATATGTTTTTATTTAATTGCCTTTTTTTTTTCAGTAATGGGAAGCCTCAGTTCTGTGGAGAGTAAGCATTTCCAGAGGCTTCCATCAGTAAGCAGGACGCGACTCCCACTTATTACTGGGCCGGAGGACATGGGTCCTCGTCCACATGCGACCGACGGTGACAGACGGGAGCCCTCTGCTTCTCCCACAGTTGTGTGCGAAGGCGCAGCGGCTGTTTCCTTCAGCCTTGGGCCTGAGGACCAGAGCAAAACCAGAGAACCCAGGGAGGTGACACCAGCAGACCCTTCACTTCTCAGTCATGTGTCTTCTCAAAGCAAGTGGCTGAAATATCAAAACTTAGCCCAGTGCAACTCGGCTCCAAGCAGAGTTGACAGGAAAGGCACAGGCGGCTTCCTTGCTGAGGCCATATCTGGGCTGCATCCCAGTGACACGGGTGAGCGCCAGGGCAATGCTGTGAAGGGACGCCTGTTAGACACTGTGCATTTGCAGATGATCAAAAGCGTGCTCCGCCAGCAGCAGCCGCATTTTAGCAGACACGGCCTGGTTTGCAGAAAGCAGACTTCCGAGACGGAGGAAACTCCCAACGTGTCGGGAGAGCCCGCCTGCTATGAGGACAGCGTAACAGGAGGTCCACAGGTGAGGAAGTGCACCCGTGTCCCTTGAGGCATTTTTTCCAGTCTTATTGTCTGAATTTCAGCGAGAGCAATGATTCTACTCTCAGAGACGATGGCTTTTTTCTTTATTTTTAGAGTTTTCCATGACTCTAGCTACAGTCACATCTTCTTTGATTTAAGACCTTTCCCGGTAGTTGTGACCATGAAGTGAAATTACGTATTTGAAAGTGTCTGATGCGGTACTTGGCACACCACAGGCTCTGGCCCCACGGCCACTTCATACTGCTGTCACTGGGATTGCTTTCATTTCCTTCGATCAGCTCAGTTGCTGATCAGATCAGTATTAGGGTAAAGGACATCTTACACATTGGTTGTGAGCAGTTCTTACCAAAGTTGTAATCAGAAAGAGCGATACATAATGATTCATTCACATCAGTTGAGTTTTCCCTGAAAAAAGTATTTAAACGCTTGTTAGTAAGAGCGTTGTGTATAGGCATTCTTGCTGTAGTGGTTTCTCATCTAAAATTGAAAGTTTATTTTCAAGGATTCTGGAATTTTTTTTAATTGTTTGTTTTTTTAAACATATCCATAGAAAATAATTTAGTCACTAGTCAACAGCGTCTTTCTGTAGTTGTTATAATAACTTGAGTTATTCCATTTCAGGAGGTAAGTGGCTCTGAGCTGTGCTTCCCCAGTGGGCAGAAGGTGAAGTGCGCTCACCTCCCGCAGAGGCATGTGCGCATACCGGCCACTTTCCAGTCTCCTGCTCACTACAGGCAGACCTTCGCCTCGTGTCTCAGAGGTATGGCTCTTACCTTTGCGTTCCTGTACGACTAGCCGCTGCTTCAGTAAGTGTACAGCTGTGAGAGTGAGATGTCTTATGAATTTCCATATGAAATTCTCTCTTTGAGATTTGTTATGTTCTGTGTGTTTATTTCAGTGTTTGACAGTAACTTATTTTAATTTTAGATCAAGTTGAGTTTTAAAAGTGGGAAATGACAGTATTATCTTTTTCAAGTGATAGGTTTCATTTTCTTTTAAACTGGAAGTGTCACAAGTGGTTCTGTTAAGCAGGAAATACTGAGTATGATGCCTGGTTAGTTTTGATAGTTTGTTCTGTTGTATGAGGGCAAAACTTGACTTTAAAAAGTGGGAATTAGTGTGAGGTTATAGTTTACTCTGTTAAAAGGCTGTGTTAAAATTTAGCTAACCACCAGCACATGTGCAATCCAAACACAAAATTATTCTATGTTGAATTTTCCTCTGTATCTTTTTTTGTAGAGCATCTGAATATATTGCTGTTTGGGCTGGCGCAAAGGTTGCACAAAGCTCTTTCGAAAGCTGACATATCATTTTACACATCGTCAAAAGGAGAGCAACTGAAAAACATGGAAAATAATGTGCCCTCCTGCCATCATCATCAGCCTGCAAAGCTTGTCATGGTTAAGAAGGAAGGTCCCAACAAGGTGCGGCTCCCCCCCGCCCCCCATCCTGTGCCAGTGACGCCTGTCTCATAGAGGGCGCGGCGCCTGCTGCTTTAGGAGCAGCTCAGTGGGCGCGGGCTCCAGGAGCCTTTGGTGACGAACGAACGTACTCCCAGCGTGCTGTTCCTGGAGGGCGACCTGTGTTCAGGGTCAAAAACGGGACTTAAATCAACCTTCAGGTTTCCCAGCACTTACTGCGCACCCGGTGGGTGCAGAGACGGGGACGGGACTGACGGGGGCTCGTGCCTGTCGCAGTGCGAGCCGAGCGCCAAGGAGCTCGCTGTGGCCCCCAGCCCAGGGACAGACAGGCGCCCTGACTGCAGTTATGTGCTGATGGCGTATTATTGTGGAGGAAGTTGGTGAGTGTGCTGTGCTGACTCATGGCCTGTCCGCCCTGGACGGCCGCTTCACCCATGGTAACAGCTTCCTCCTCGTCCTGCGCATCCCACCTCGTCCTGGGCTCAGTGTGTAAACCTTACGTGCAGTTGTCAAAAGCAAGAGCCCGTAAGTCATATTAGAACCGCACAATACACCGTTCCAGAGGCACTAAAACTCTTCCTTCCCAAGGCAGTTGGATGACGTGGTTGTCATGCTCACGGGATGTTGTTGGGCATGAGGGTCGGGTTACAGAAAGTGTGTCGTTATCTGAGTTTTGTTTTGAAAACAGAATACTTACACATGTGTGTCCTCCTGTGTGTGCGCGCACGTGCACTTACGGGAGAGAAAAGGCTGGAAGGAAACGCACAAGTTGCCCCCTGTTCCCGGGCAGCCTTCAGGTTGCTGGTGGTGACCACTTTAAATCAAAAACAGTAAATTTAATTTTGTAAAATAATGTGATTTTTTGATGAGGACACAACAGGTGGAAAACCAAGTAGTTTTAAATTTTAATTTATTGTTTAAGTTAATGAAGAGTTTAGGTTGTTTAGGGACTAACTTACTGGGCTACACGATGCCAAGCAACCTTTATGAAAGTCTTAACAAACGTAACACAAAAACAGCAAAAATTAAAACATTGTTTTACTCACTAACTTTTAGTGTCTTCCCCTCAGGGTCGCCTTTTTTATACCTGTGATGCACCCAAAACTGACCGATGTAAATTTTTCAAGTGGCTTGAAGAAGTGACCCCAGGAAATTTAACACAGGAAGAATCTCCACACACATTGGTTTTAAGTGACATAAAGAGTATTGGCTCGTACTTAAGAAGCCAAACAATACCCCTCTATGAGGAATGCCAGCTGTTGGTGAGGTATGCTTTCATGATACCAAATCATTGCCTCTTAATTATTTCAGAAAATAGTAACCACAGAATTATCATCAGTTTTAAAAGAGACAGAGAGAGAAAAAGAATCTAAAAGGTAGAGGACCTCAGGTTTTCTAACTATAACTTGGGGATGATTCTCTGAAGCTGTTTTTGGCCCCTCTAAACATCACGCAGTATCAGCAACGTCAGGTTACTGGCAGGAAGGCTGTTTTTCTGACCATTTTTCTATGTACTCATCTTCCTAAGGGAAACCCTATCGAACAAACCACAAGAAAAATTTTTTTTTTTTTAAAGATTTTTATTGGGGAATTGGGGGGATGGGAACAGTGCAGGGGAATTGGGGGAAGGGGAACAGACAAGTTGCTGTCGTTTTGTTCTTCAATCTAGTTGTGGAGGATGTTGCTTCACTGGCCCAAGTTGGTATTATCATTGCACTCTTCTCTGGCGAGGCAGATCAGTCGCCGGCTTCTGGACGGCCGCTCACTGCGGCTGCTGGCCGCTCACGCTGGCTGCTGGCCACACACGGTAGCCCATGGCAATCCACTGCCACAGGGACTGCAGCCCACGCCGTCGCCGGCGACTCATGGCAGCCCAGCTCCAGGTTGAGCTGTTGTTCAGCATCTTAGCTGTGGAGGGCAGTGTCACTGGCCCTCATATGTGGGATCCGAACCAGGGCCCTCTGGCGTCCCAAGCCAGCTCTTAACCATCGCGCCACTCGGCCGGTCCAAGAATAATTTTTATCAGTGTAGGAGAGGAGGTCCTGGTCATTTGCAAGCCCGGACTACAAAGTTCTCAAGATAACAGAATGAATGCTATTTTTGGGAACTTATAAAAGCAGGACCGCCCCAGAAGCAAACATCGTGAGTGTCTTTGTGATAATGTAAGAACAACACAGACTGGGGGCTGACCCATGCCAGGCATCTTCTGAGCACTTTGCCTGTATTATTTCTTTTAATCATCACAATTACCTACAAGGTACGAAAATAATGGGATAATTTATTTTCCCATTTGACAGTTATAGCAGCTGAGGTTTTAGGTATGTTTCCTATCTCAGTCTCTTAAAACGAAAGCTAACTTTGAGGGCTGCTATTTTCTTCCTTTGACAGAGTACGTCTTTGTTCTGTATATCTGTATAAAGCATAATATACAAACATTGACACACCTTGGTTCTTTCCTTTTCATACTTTAAACATTTTTTAAAAATTTGTGCCTTCGAACTTCTGGTTTTAAAATAAATGAGTCCTGGAGATGTATGTACAGTGTGGTGACCAGGTTTCATATTGTATCGTGTATTTAAAAGTTGCTAAAAGAGTAAATCTTAAAAGTTCTCATCACAAGAAAAAAATTTATAACTATGTGGTGATGGATGTTACCGGGACTTACTGTGGTGATCACTTCACATTAGACATGTTGAATCACTATGTTGTACACCTGAAGCTAATACGCTTTATATGTCAATTATATCTCAACTAAGAAAAAATTTGTACCGCAGTATTCAAATTCATTTTTGGTTTTTACTCATTTCACAGGAAAGGATTTGATTTTCAGAGAAAACAGTATGGCAAACTAAAGAAGTTCACGACTGTAAATCCTGAATTTTATAGTGAGCCTAACAGCAAACTTTATCTGAAGCTGAGTCGGAAGGAAAGTTCTTCGACTTACAGCAAAGGTGAGCTGGTGACAGAGGCCGGCCTGTCTGTCCCACGCGGCTCTGAGTTCTCTATAGTAGAGAGGCTTTTTAAGGTACAGTTTAATAGGGTTGTACTGTGAATTGTTGTATGATAAATTGGACCATTCCACAAAGCATATTATACATTTTTGCTTTTCAGAAATCTGTTAAAGGCTATGAACAACTGTTTAATTTTGTTTAAAAAGTCACACTGTTCTCGGCATCATATAAATAAGCATATCGATTCAACTGTACTCTGACCTAATCTCAAAACACACTGAAACTGTAATGAGTTTATCAATGCTCTATCATTGTCTGCGCAATTTGACAACACTGGACCCCAAATTTTGTATTTTGGAAATAAAATCCATAAAAAATGTTTCTAAGGCCCTTAGATGCACTAAATTGGGTTAATGATCATCTTTGGTTTCACCACCTGTTCTTGTCACTGGTCGTCACCTAACTCTAACCTTTATGGCAACGTGCATTTCATACACAGTAACCCCACTGCCTTCCCTGGCTGTTTCCCAGCCTGAGGTGATTGTCCCTTTAATCCCTGTGTCCCTCAGCGGCTTCCCTTTGTGGGTTTACATACACGAATTCCTAAAGAGCTGTCTAAAGTTTTTAGTTTTTAACGCTAGTAAGAAGATAAATTCTGTGTGTGATCCCCAGAACTTACCTCTGTCACTTCACAGCATACTGCTGCACGTACACCACTTACGGCAGTGTCTAAGCCTGCGCCTAGACGCCGTGCTTGGGCTGCACGTGTGAGCTTGTGACGGCACCACAGCTCGTTCATTACTCTTCCCCTGGTGGTCGTTTGGTTTCCACGCCATGTGGACAGTGTGTGTGATGACTCTCGCATCTCCTGTAAAGGGCGGGGTCTCTTTGGGCATCACCCAGGGGATGGAGGCGCCACGGTGCCACCCGGATGTCCCAGGCGCTTGCACTCCCCCTGTCCTGGGTCAGCCACTCAGATGGGCCTAAAGTGGTGTCACCGTGGTTTTAGTTGCATTTCTCTGCTCACCGGTGGTGCTGAACAGCTCTTCCTTGGTGTGTTTGTTGGTTATATACATATGTTCTTACCCATTTTACTGTTGTGCTGTTTGTAATCTTATTTATTCTTCTTATATATTGTGCATGTTAATCTTTTGTTCATCAGAATATTGTGACTATCTGCTCCCAGTCTGTATCATGTCTTTTCACTTATTTAAGGTATCTCTAGATAATCAAAAAATGGGGTGGGGGGACGGCCAGTTAGCTCAGGCAGTTAGAGTACAGGGTGCAGTGCTTATAATGCCAGGGTTGCCGGTTTGATCCCTGCATGGGCCAGGGAGCTGCGCCCTCCACAACTAGATTTAAACAGCTACTTGACTTGGAGCTGATGGGTCCTGGAGAGACACACTGTTCCCCAATAAAAAAAAATGTTTTTTAAATCTTTCGATATAGTCATTGTCAAAAATGACAATGCTTATTTTAAAAATCTTTTCCTATGCTCAGATCTAAAATTATTTGCCTGTATTTTCTATTCATTGCTTTCAAGTTTTGTTTGTGACCTTTGTTTTTCTCCCAGTGTCTTAAGCTTTCCCTCACGCATGGGGCGCGAAGGCCGCCAGCCCTGGGAGTTGTGCGTGTGCGGCCACGGCAGGGCTGTCTCACCCCCTTCTCTTACCATTTTGCTGGAAGAGTGACCTTGTCTCACGGAGGAGCCTCCCATCAATTAGAACTTATTTCAACTGCCGTATTTTTCCAAATAATATTTTTGTTCATTTCTTTTCGTGTTTTCTTGTTCTGATTTTGTGTTGCTGCTGTCTTTCCTTACCTCTTTTAACCTCTTTGCTGAATTTACATTCTTCGTCCATCTATTCTGGTGTTTCCTTTTCTGTAGAAGAACTCTGTAATCCAGTATATTTTTCTTTTGAAGTCTTTGTGCCCCTTACATGTCTCATGACTTTGCCTGGGACTAATTTCCCTGGTGGCATCAGCTTGCTCCCTGGCAGTGCCTCTGGGGAGGGCGGCCCCCGTCCGGGCAGCTGCAGTGAGCCAGGGACTTGCGTTCGGGCCAGGCCTCTGCCGTGGCTAACTCACGTCCTTCACCTGTGAAGTGCCGACAGTAACAGTATCTGTCTGACATTCAGCATGTCTGTCGGCCCGGAAATAACAGCTTATTATGTCTTCCCAGTGACCCAATTCCCATAGGCCCGAGACTGCCTGGACTGACCTGTTGCTCTGCCCGTGGTGCCCTGTGGTTCTGCGGCTGCTGCCCGTTCCTCCCGCCCAGTCCCTGCAGCCTTTGTGTTAGGGGCTGCGCCCCAGGCTCAGCCTCAGCACGAGGCCGGAGTCGGCTGCTCACGCGTGTTGGCTTGTGGCCTCGCCGGCCACTGTCCCAGCTGTCGCACTCCACAGCTCCCCGTCCTCCTGTGGCTGGTGCGTGTGGGGTTTGCTGGGAGTCCGCTGGGGAAATGCGCCCTCTTCTTTTCCCCAAATGCCTTTCTATTAATATCACCTGAAAAGGACTAGTTGTCTCCCAGCCGTGTGGGATTTTATCACCCTCCTTTTCCCATTTCCTTTGTCCCCAAGCACTGCACTGGGCTGACATTTTATTTCTTCTGTCACTTCACTGCGATGTAGGAAGAAAGGGGAGGGGAATGAATTTTTATGTCAACTATTTGAAATTAGAGATCTTTTCACAAATTGTGATGAATGTTGAATAAAATAAATATTAGCAAATGGGAATAAATTGTTTAAAAGGTTACCTCAATTGGCAAATATTTTTAAATAAATCAGGTACGAGATATACTATAGATCAGGTTTTTCTGAAGTAGTTTCCTAAACATATTTCCTAAAACAATAATTCAATGGTTGTATTGGTAAGAGGTAGTGTAAAAACATAGGCCCTGTGGTTAAATCCATTTGGAAAGAGCCGTGTTAAACACATAACCTACTCCAAGAGTTTTTGGCGCCTCAATACGTTGATGTGCACTGGGCTTTCCAGGCAGGAATGGAGCCCGCGGAACTATCCTTTCTGATGCAGGTGAGCTCATGGTTGGTCGGTTCATTTTAAAAGTTGTTCAGTGTCAGGGATTACAAAAAATAATGCAAATTAACATTTCAACTTAAAGTATGTGAATATAGTTTTATGTAATGATCTTTTGTCAAAGAGTCCAGGATTTGTTTAGAATATGGGTTTTGATTGGAGACCCTTTGCACCTTCCTTGTAATAACCACCCCCACGTATGCACCGCCCATAAAGACATACCGTTTCGAATTGTTAAACATGGACCAAGAACTTAAGGACACTTGTGAAGCAATCTAAGTGGAGAATGGTTTGAATTTTTTTTATCTCATTTTTAGTCTTTTACATTTATCTCATCTGTACTTGAGTCAAAGCAGTTTTTTGTGTTTTGACTTTTTTTTAGCCAATCTTCTTAATTACGTCTTTCTAAATTGTTCACTTGTTGTTTTTCTTAAAACAACACTTTTTTCCTTCGTTCTCGTAATGGTTCCAATAACACATGATTAAGTTGTATAATAAGAGACACAGCTGGTGTAAATAAGTTTTTGAACCAATATAGTTGACCCTTTGCAAGTGTAAACTCAGCTGCGGGGGGGGACATGGTGCCCAGGTGCTATGGGACGTGGCCTGCTGGTGCCGAGGGCTCAGCGCTGCCTAACGGGTAGGCGTGTTACGCAGAGAAAGCAGGCCCGCCTTTAACCCGGAGTGTCAGGCCTCCTAAGGGAACCTGGGCTCAACCCATGGATTGTGGCTTTGTTTCAGCATGGAAACCACACGTGGCCGGGGCCCACGTTGGAAAGGCTGGCATAGCTAGAAGCCATTTTATAAGAGAAAGATTAGTTAGATGCTGTCTTTGTTTACTCTGTATTTCATAATTATAAAATAAAAGTAGTGCAGTTAAAAACTTGGAAATGCAATGTTACATGCCCAGGTCTTGCAGATGATAACTGGGTTTGTTTTCTGAGTAATAATGTAGGACTAAGCATGTACGGAATTCCAAGTAACCTCGGATTGAGCATATGCTGAGCCCTTTACAAAATGCCTGTTTTTCAGATGACCTTTGGGTGGTCTCTAAAACCCTGGACTTTGAATTGGACACTTTCATTGCATGTAGCGCCTTCTTTGGACCGTCATCTACCAATGAGCTGGAGATACTGCCTCTGCAAGGTTACTGCCCCTCTAACTGGCCCACCAACAGTAAGTGTTACCATGGCCGGCTTCATGTGGACTAGAAAAGAACTGCAGGGGCCAGCAAAGGCACCCGCACGCACTGTGCAGTGTGTTCCTGAGAGTGCATGTGGAAGCTGAAAATATGACTATTTCTGCAGGCAGGTCCCAGGGGGCTAGCAACAAAATCTTGCTCCCTCACTCAGGTATTTTGTTCAAGTTGAATTCTACACGGCATATACCTGCTTTTTAAAAATATAAACATTAAACATAGAAGAATTTTCTCAAATAATGCCTTGTATCAAGTTCTAATTCTCTTAGTTTATTCAGTTCTCTTGGTTTTTATTCTAATAGAGTGCATTTAGTAATCAAATCGCTTACTTTTATACTGGAAAGGTCTCACAGATCTTGCGAGAGTATTTGCGAGCAGCTGAACAGGAAGGACGGTGTGGTTTTCGTTCCGAGTGTATTTTATCATCTGCCTCGGGAAGTTAGGGAGACAGTGGGCTGCGGCCTGTTTTTCTCTCACTAAAGGAAGCTGACCCCCATCTGCCCTGTGACCCGTGGGCCCCTCCATGCGTTCCAATGTCGGGAAGAACTTCTGCTTGAATTTGGTCCACAACCACTTACAGACAGTTTAATGACTCATTCAAGTATTTCTGATGTTTTCCATCAGAGCTGAGTAAACCTCGTCAACCAGCTTGAGTCCAGTAATCTTAGTTACGTGAGCCTTTGTCACTTTTGATGCATTTTTTTCATGTTAGTTGCACTTGTTTGCTCACCAATATCAGCATTCTAGCTTTGTGCTTTCCATGTATTTCTATAAAATTATTGAGGAAGACATGTAAGAAAATGTCCAGAAGCTACACAGGTCCCACTGCAGGCACACTGCGGTATGCTGACTGTACTGGGGGGCTGCCGGCTGTAGGCAGTGTCTCCAAGTCCTGACTCACAGCCACTCTTGTCCCCTAGCTGGTGCGTGGAGTCCAGGTTTGACTTGGACTGCAGAGTCTTGGGGACCCATCTGTGAAGTGTGACCCAGCAGATGGAGGCGTGGTTTAACTGGTGAAAGGACCCCTGCAAGCACTCAGGGCTCACAGCAGGGGAGTGCCAGGCCTGAGTCTTGTGGGCGTTTCATAGCGTTGCTTACGACCTGTCTTACTTACATGGACTCTCATTTTCTGCCTCCTCTGCAGCAGTGGTCCATGCCTTGTTGGTGTGTAATGCCAGCACAGAGCTGACCACTTTGAAGAACATTGAGGACCACTTTCATCCAGCCACCCTGCCCATCACGTGGCACCTGCTGACACTGTAAGTCCTTGTCGGCCTTGGGTCCTGGGTGTTCAGAAGCAGCCATTACGCGTGACTGTGAAAGTGCACATCACGTAAATGCTACCAGTGAAATTTCAGTTACCTCAGAGACCATGAGATTACTGTCTCCCGGTCGTTGAAAATTAGTCCTTCCATTCATGCATCCATCATTTATTTATTGTGGTTGGGGCTAGTAAATGTTACTGCAGATCTTTTCCCTTTGTCAGGGAACATTTCTTAAGGGTCTTTTGAGTATTGATTATTTATTCATCTGTATGTTTATGCCACAAATTAATTAACTGAAGAATCATTTTACAGTATCAAAGTATCATGTATACCTTAGTGTCATGTCAAATTTATTCAATTAAAAATTTTAAATCACAATTTTACAGCTTGAATCCAGTACATATATCAATACTAATTTTATTCTTGACATTACCTGTATCTCATTTTTAAATTCTCAAATACCATACCCCCTCTTAAAAAATCAGAAGTGGTATTTTACTGAATTCATTAAAATAACAGAAAAAGTCTAGTTTCTAATTTGGAATCTTATGGTCTGTCTGGTGGTGTTTCAATTTTCTCACCACAGTGAAGTCCTAGGTGAAAAAAATCAATATAATTCCATTGTTATTTTTCTACTTTGAAATAAATTCAGTCTTTATAGAAATAAAAATAATTTATCTCCGTTTTACTTAAAACAGAGGCTATATTGATGATCTAAGCCAGCTTTGTATAATACAGCATGGGCTTTAATGTCAGTATACCACTTCTTAGCTGTGTGCTTTGGGGGGGAAATTTTAATATCTTCTGTATCTCTATTTGGGTAAATTAACTACTTCCTACTGTTGTGAAGATTACATCAAATAACATGTAAAATGCTTAGCACAGTGTCGCCTGGGAGTGTGTATTCCACAGGATGGTTGACTTCTCTCCCCGCTCCTCCATTTGGGTACACAAACATTTCTGTCCACAAAGAAAGGTTTTCTGTGATGCTTATGAAGTGACGGTTAAGTTTCGAACAGGTCTGCTCACCTATTTCAAAAGCCCCTCGTGTTTCATTTGCTGCCTTTTACTAGGTCTTCGTCCACTGCAGTCAGCACCAAGAGATTCAGTAAGAGAAAATTTATCCCACCAGCCGTGTCAAACACCCACACGAACCTGCCCGCGCTCGGCCTCGGCGCGACACTGCAGGTAGCTCGTGAGTTGATTCAGGCTCACACGCTAAACCCGGATCAAGCCGCGGCCCTGACCCACATCGCCCACATGATGGCGTCCCACGACGGTGCTGAAGAGGCGCGCGGGCCGCGCGTCCAGGTGTCCCCCATCACCATCATCCAGGGTGAGAGGCGCGCAGGCGGCTGCGTGGGCGTCTGTGACTCGGACTTCCCGCTTCGGTAACAGCGCGGAGCGTCCGCATTGGGTCAGGACAGTGCGCGCCGCTCACCTGCGGCGACACCGCTGGGAGCGCGCTACCTGCTGTGAACCCCTAGTCAGCAATTCCATCCTCCACACCTTCCTCCGAGCCCCGCCCCCTCCGCACAGCCCCGCCCCCCACACCTTCCTCCTCCGAGCCCCTCCCCTGCCGGGTGAATGTGAGCCCCAGAGCTGGAAGCCAGGGATGTGTCCTTTCATTTATCAGCCCTATGGTCTTGGGCAGCCACTCATCTGTCAGCTTTAATTTCCTGCTCTGTAAGGTGGGCTTGATAGCGGCCGCTGTTGCCTGGGGTTGTGGGGTTAACGGGGCTCACAGGTAAAGTCTTGGGCCGGTCCTGATACCTGCGAGGCACTCAGGCTGGCGTGTTGGGTGTTACGATCGTCCCAGTGTTGAACCGTCTTTACTTGTACCTTTCTTCAGATTTTCACCGAAGGAGTTTTTCTAAAACAATCTGATCAAGTCAGTTCCACTGTTTAAAACCTTCAGTGAGTTCCCCGGGCCTTTAGGACCGAAGTCAGCTTTTCAGGCCCAGCAGGCAGAGCTCTTGTGATGCCTGTTTGTCACCGGACCCGGAGAATGCGCGGCAGCTCCACACCTGGCTGAGCAGCATGGGCCTCTTTGTTCTGAGACCTAGTTCTGCCACTCGTCATCTTTAGGAAGCACCCCGTCTCACCGGAGCAGGCAGCGATGTTCTCTCTCTAGAGCTTACCATGTTATCATTACTTTTTATTAAGTTTACTGGGGTGACAGTGCATAATTTCCAGGTGCACACGATGGTAACTTCATACCTGTGTGCTCACGGCGAGAAGGCCAGCCTCCTTCCGTCTCCATGTACGTGACCCCGTTACCCACGCCACCTTCCCCACCCTTCTGTGGTATTCTGCTCATTAAGTGTGGAGGCCTTTGGTCGTTTATCCGTTTATACCTGTGCTTAGCACATTGTGGGCACCAGTTGTTTCTGAACAGATTAGTTAAGTGAAGACATAGATGGTGAAATGTTTCTTGTGCTTTCAGAAACTTATGATGCTGCTTTTATTTTTTTCCCCTTCAAAATAATTAGGTGTTTTTGGAGCAGGAAAGAGTTATTTGTTGGCGGTGGTGATTTTATTTTTTGTGCAGCTGTTTGAAAAGAGTGACACTCCTACAGTTGGAAATTCAAGACCGTGGAAGCTTCTGATTTCTTCTTCCACTAATGTAGCTGTGGACAGAGTACTTCTCGGGTAGGAGTGACAAGTGCTTCAGTAGCTTGTGTCAGGTTTATTGCAGCAGCCGTGCACTTCACATTCAGCTGCCGCTCTGTCCCCAGTCTGGGGCAGTGCCCATGTGATCACAGAAGGCCGTGGGGACAGCCAGACTCGCCGGGTCTCAGGCATGGCTGACTCACGGCTGACTTTCCGTCTCTAAGATGACGTGTCTCAGAGCTGTAATGACTTTTAGATAAAGAGCTGTATTCTTCCTAATAAATCTCGATGCTAAATATATGGTGCTACTGCTCTCTGTATTATGTCTCGAGGGGCAATTTTATTTTTGATAAATACTAACATCGGTATTAGTAACATTGAATGGGCCCTCAACAGCAGGTAATCTGTGTTTTACAGTTCTCTTTAGAATAAACGCATTATACCAAAGGCTCCCTCAACTGCACTGCATTTACTTTGAGTTTAAGCGTTTCACATTGAATTTCATAACTGTAAAAATATACTGTTACACAGAATTAATTTTAATGACACATAGTATATGAAACTTTGTTTTATGTTCTGCTTTCTAAATAATCAGGATCTGTGCGCCTTCTTTTCTCACAGGCTTCTCAGTCTTGGATTTGAAAAGTTTGTCAGAGTTGGGAGTGTCAGGAAGATCGCCAAGCCGGTCTTACCTTACAGGTAAGAATGCTGAATTCCAAAAGCCACAGGACGTTCACAAGTATACTAATTTTATATGTCTTACCTTAAATCAGGTTTCTGAAGACGAGTGGAGAAAGACTTATCTTTTTCTTGGCTAACTTAGGAAACCTGTACTTAACTTTTTTGTGATGTTATGAAAATGGAGTAGCGGGTCATTCTTTTCTGTCATTCTTTTTCTTAGCTTGCATGCTGGCTCAGAAAATGCAAATGAACAATTAAAAGAGCTACAAGCACTAATGAAAGAAGACCTGACTCCTGTGGAAAGAGTCTACGTGAGAAAAAGTATCGAACAGCATAAACTGGGGACCAATAGGATGCTGCTGAAGCAGGTGAGGGGCCCAGCTTCGCTCGGCCAACGGCACGCCCACTTAGAAACCTCATCGATTGTCCCCTTGTTTATAGTGAGTTCGAGGGGGAACGTAAGCTTTTTGAGGCTTTTCGCTGTAGAGCAGTGGCACTCTGGTATGATATGTAAGTCTTGTAAGACTCAGGGAAACCGACAGGCTGCACGTGCGCGGTGACGCAGCTGGCCGACTTAGCAGCCGCCTTCCCGGAGTCTGAGTGCGCATGCGCTGGAAGGCCACGCCGAGCACATCGGTAGAGCGTTCAGTGCGCTTTGCGAGAGCTTCCACCTGTGTTGTGTTTACCCAGCGTCACCTAAGAGGAGGAAACGTGTACCTTACCCCTGATAGTTTCAACAACTGGATATTATCATTCCTTCTGAATGTCAGATGTACTTTTTCTCCTTATTAATGGGCTGCAACGCAGGTAGCCCATATTCTGTGATTTCCGTCGCTTACGTGGGAATAAGGAAAACCTGGCGATAGAGTGACCTGCGATTTCTGATGGCCAGTAATTAAGACGAGCTCGTTTCTGATTTTAGCCTGTGAGACCTTTGTTAAATGTGTCCTCTCGTTTTTTTTTAAAGATTTTTATTGGGGAATTGGGGGTATGGGAACAGCGCTGGGGAATTGGGGGAAGGGGAACAGACAAGTTGCTGTCGTTTTTTGTTCTTCAGTCTAGTGGAGGACGTTGCTTCACTGGCCCAAGTTGGCACCATCATTGCGCTCTTCCCGGGTGAGGCACATCAGTAGCCGGCTTTTGGACAGCGGCTCACAGCGGCTGCTGGCCGCTCACGCTGGCTGCTGGCTAACACCGTAGCCCATGGCAACCCACTGCCACAGGGGCTGCAGCCTACGCCGTAGCAGGCGACTCACAGCCGCCCAGCTCCAGGTTGAGCTGTTGTTCAGCATCTTAGCTGTGGAGGGCAGTGTCACTGGCCCTCATATGTGGGATCCGAACCGGGGCCCTCTGGCATCCCAAGCCAGTTCTTAACCATCGTGCCACTCAGCCAGCCCTCCTCTCGTTTTTTAAAAAGCTATTCACTACTGACGCTCTTGTAACAGGTTCGCGTGGTCGGAGCCACCTGTGCAGCCTGCCCATCCCCGTGCATGGACGACCTTAAGTTTCCTGTTGTTGTGCTGGATGAATGCAGCCAGGTAACAGAACCTGCGGCCCTCCTTCCCATCGCGAGGTAAGACCCCTGCGCAGGGCACGCAGCTGCCTGGCCAGTCCCAACACTAATGCAGCTCTGACTCCTCCCAAACTTATGAAAATTTTAAAAGAATGCAGAGGGAGATTTTGTTAGACCACCGTTGAGATGCCTGGCTCACATGATCCACAAAGCCTTGACAGCTGTCATGCTAGGATTCTTCTAGAACCTTGCAGCTTCCAACTGGAGGAAAGGTCCCTCTCTGGCCATAGTCTGAGAAGGCAACCCTGCTGAAGAAAGTTCTTCAATTGCCTTACCTTCAAGTGTTTAGTTTCAGAACTTGAGTTTTGGATTATGACAGGATATAAAGTATATAAAGAAAAATAAGTTGAAAATGAAAATCTGTGTTAAAATTTAGAGTACCATGCAGTCTTATTGGAGAATCCCTAAGGTGGTGGGAAGGCTGCTGGGCTTGGACTCAGTGGGCCTGTCGCCAGAGGATGCGAAGCAGAGTCCACGTCATGGCTGAGCCTGGACTTGGAGGGTCCCTGTGTGGGGGGCTCGCAGTGTTTACATGGGACAGCTGGTCACCCTGGTCAGGAGCCGGGATGGGGGACCGCAGTGACCCTGCACAGAGGGGCAGGAGTTTCCCTCTTACACCGGACACGTCACAGACGAACACAGTGTGTGAGGTGTTGTCACAGCCAGGTCACTGATAAGAAGGCTGAAGCTTGGAGCGCTTCAACAGCTTGCTGTGGCCACACTATATAGCAGAGCTGCGATTTGCATGAGGTTTTTCAAATAGAGATTCCCGGACCCAGTTCCAATGTGGGGCGAGGGTGGGGGGTACACCCACAAGCAATTCTCGGAACACCGGCTGGGTGTCCAAGAAGTCAACTCACTTCTGACACTAGCCGCCCGGAGTCAGCACCAGATCCCACAGGTTAAGGCTTCAGTCCGACCAGACCTCCCCCTGGCCCACAAACACACACTTTGGACTCCAGCCGCCAGCTCAGGCTCTTACCTGTGCTTCTGACCACCTGGGTACACATGGGAGGTTCCAGCGACCCCCCCAACTCAGATGCCAGTCCCAGCCCAGGCGTCACCTGCACTCCTGACCCACTGACTGTGAATCAGGGTCCCCACGACCCCCTCCTGGGACTCCATTCACTTCCTAGAGCGGCTCATGGAACTCAGAGAAAACATCACTTAAGGTCACTGGCTTATCGTGACAGGTCATAAGGTCAGGAACAGCCAGATGGAAGAGACAGGTGCATCGGACCAGTGTGTGGGAAGGGGCACGTGGCTCCGGTGCCCTCTCCAGACGCCCCTCTCCCGTCTCCACAGTCCCCAACCCGGACGCTCCCAGAACCCGTCCTTCTGGGTTTCTCTGGAGGTTCCATCACACAGGCAGCACCGATTAACTCAGTGGCCATTGGTGGCCCATGCAGCCTCCAGCCCCTCCCTCCTGGAGGTCAGGGGTGGAAGGGAAAGTCCCAACCCTTTAATCACATGGTGGGTCCCCTGGCATCCAGCCCCCATCCTTACCTGTGTCCAAAAGTCCCCTCACTCACAGGCCCAAAGGCAGCTTTATCACTCTCCGAGAGTTTCCGTAGCTGTGAGCCATAAACAGGATGAAGACCAAATACAGAGGATGCAAAAAAAAAAGACAGTATACACGTTTTAAGAAAGGAAAAAACTGTCATTAAAATTGTGATACTCGGGGCAGCTGAGTGGCTCAGTTGGTTAAGAGCACGAGCTCTGAGCAACAGGGTCACCGGTTCGATTCCCACATGGGCCAGTGAGCTGCACCCAAGCTGAGCTGCCACTGAGCTGCCATCAGGTGTCAGGAAGGCTCAGCTGGTGAGAGCACATGCTCCTAACAACAAGGTTGCTGGTTGGACTCCCACATGGCATGGTGGGCTGCGCCCCCTCCCCACCCCACCCCCCACAACTAAGATTGAACACAGCACCTTGAGCTGAGCAGTCGTGTCCAGGCCAGATGGCGACTGGACTTAATAGCTGAGCTAGCTGCACCCTCCACAACTAAGATTGAAAGACAACAACTTGGCTGTTTCCCTTCCCCAATAAAATCTTTTTTTTTTAAAAACCAGATTTTTTTTTTTAAGCTGAGCCATCCTGCCACCTGTTGGCAGCTCAGCGGCTGCTCAGCTCGGGCCGGGAATCAAACCGCTGTTGCGCAGAGCTCAAACTCTTGAGCAAGCTCATAACCAACTGAGCCACTCGGCCGGCCCCTAAAAAAATCAGATTTTAAAAAATAAATAAATAAAATAAAATTGTAATAATATATACTGACAACAAAAGATGAATACAAGTCATGTGTATACATTTTTTTGGCACCCCGGAATAAGTGAGAAATAGATTTTGGTCATCTGAATAACCAAATATATGTTTCTTATAAATAACAGTATTGCAGTTTTTTTTACAAAACTTGGGCATTTTCCCACTCTATCCTTCTCCTGTTTAGAAAGACATTTACCCCTGAGAGCCTAATTTACTTCATCTCTGAAGCAGGAGTTTAAGCCTCTTCTAAGAAAGCTTCAAAGTGTACATTTATACCAGAAGTCATTGCTTCTCAAAGTGTGTTCTGTGAATACTAATGCACGCAGAGGCAGGGGACACTTAATAGGCTTTCTGTGGGAAGAATAAAGTTATAGAAAGGATCCTTTACTGCATGACTTTTCAAAGCCTTTTAATCCATTTGTTGGCACTCGTAAGCCTTGTCACTCCTCAGAGCGCTTCATGATGTGTGACTTCCCTGAAATACATTTTAGAAAATGGTGCAAAGAATGTCAGTGTATGCTTTTCCCACCGCTGAGATTAATTTCTGGGATTCTGTGTTTAGGTTTGAGTGTGAAAAGCTGATTCTTGTTGGAGACCCCACACAGCTTCCTCCTACTATCCAGGCTTCCGAAGCAGCACATGAGAATGGACTGGAACAAACTCTGTTTGACCGACTTTGCTTAATGGTACTACCGATCACTCATACAGTTACACTTTATTGATTATAAACTGTAGGTTTATGGAAAAAGAAAATTTTAGAAGACTGGTCCCTTCTAAAAAACTAAAAAGTAATTTTAATTGGAGTTTAGAAAGTACTCATCTCAGAGATAAGGAGGATCCTATAATTGTCGTGCCTCTTTATAAAATGAACGTTTTCCCTGCGCATTTCAGTAGTAGATTGTACGTATACTTCTTTTGCTCTAAAACCTAGAAAACCTGTAATGTCTCTATTAACCATGCCCACCTTTGTCGAGCTCTGTTCACATTGAATTCTTTAATCATTAACATATTTTTAAATTGAGGCGATATTCACATGACATAAAATTAACCACCTTAACCGGAACAGCTCTGGCAGTTAGTACATCCCTGGTGCCACGCGACCACCACCTCTGTCCATTTCCAGAACATTCCACGTGGTGTAAGGGTCCAGTTTCATTCTCCTCCACGCAGATATCTAGCTTTCCCATTGCCTTCCTGTCGAGCGCTTTGCCACCTTGTCAAAAGCGATGGACCGTGTGAGAGAGTTTATTTCTGGGCCATCTCCTATTCCCTGGTCCGCAGACCTCATTACTTTTCATGTGCTTATCTTGTCATTATCACTGTTGTTTTGATGCAATAATGTAACTCATGCCATTTTTATAAGCCGAAGATTAAAGTGTTACAGCCAAAAGAATTGTAAAAAATCTTTTGCCAAAAAAAAATTTCTTTATCATTGCTAGTTTAAATTGCATTTGAGGAGTTATTTTGCTGTTTAAACTTTCAATAATCTGTACTTTCTTAACAGAAGAAGAAAAACTGAAGTAAAACTAAAGAATTGTTAAATCTCAAATAGTTCTTCACTTGTAAGAGAGATTATCTCCTGAGAGCTCCCTGGAACGAGGTTTCAGACAGAACGGACTGGGGCTCTGCTCAAAGAGGCAGAGGTGTTAGTGCATTCTTGCTTTTCTCCATTCTTGTCCCCTCCTGTTTTCTTGGTTACATCATTATTGTTAGTCTACATTCAGTTCTGTATTTCAGAGATTCAGTACTTAGCTTCTTTGTTCACCCGAGTGCCTTGGATTTCATCATCAGTGTATTTTTTCCAGAACGGCTCGTCGACACCCACTTCCTGAGTTGTGTTCATGTCACCGTCTCACTGCCTTTCCGTGGAAACGGCACCCTGGCTGGCTGGAGCGCTGCACAGAGTCCAGGCCAGCCTGCGTGGTTTCCCCTTATGGTGATTTCTTTCTTTCTCCCTGGATGCAAGAACTCTTTCTATAACCTTAAAGTTTATAAATTGACTACAGAATATCTCAGTTTAAAGCATCCTGTATCTAATCATCCTGTAAAGAAGTCCTCTCACACTGGAGAGTCTGTTCTCTGTGGTCCCGCTTGTTGAGTTCTCTGTCAGTGTCCTAGCTCAGGTTGCTGTAACAAAACAGCACAGACAAACCAGGCAGTTACGTAGCACAGGTCGGAGCCTGGGGGGCCCCGGCCAAGGCGCCCCCTTCCCGTGGTGTGCTCCCCTGGCGGAGAGTGCCTGGTGTGTGTCTCTTCTGACAGAGCATCGACCTTCTCGTGGGGGCTCCACCTCATGGCCTCGCCTGACCCCCATCGCCCTGCCTCCTAACACCATCACTTTGGCGTCTGGGGCTTCTGCACGTGTGGTTTGTGGGGGACACATTCAGTTAATCAGGGAACCCGCTGTTCTTACTTTGGGCATCTTGTCTGTCTTCCATTTATATTACCACACACACACCCACACTGGCTGCCTTTAAAATTCTTCCTTTAGCGTTGACTTTTGTCAGTTTTAATTTAATGTGTCTTGGGAAAGGCCTCTTTGCCTTGGCATAGGGAGGTGTTCTTTTAGCTTTGTGGACTCCTGTCCATTTTATTCCCGGTTTTGGGGATTTCTCGCTGTTGGGTCTTTAAATGGGCTCTGCTCCTTGCTGCCTGCCGTGTTTTCTGGGACCCCACTGTCATCGTGGTGCCCTTTCTGATGGAATGGGATAGTTCTCGTGGCTTCCCCTTTCTTCAGATCTTCATTCTCTCTCCCACCTGAATAATTTCTGGATTTCTGCCTGTTTCTGTGCTCTCTCATGCCTTCTTCATCTGACTTACTGAGCCCTTCAGCTCCAGAATTTCTGTTTGGTCCTTTTTCAGAGTTTCGATCTCTTTGCTCAGGTACTCTTTCTGTTCATCAGTGTTATTCCTGAGCTCACTGAGCTGCCTTTCTGAGTTTTCTTGTATCTCATCGAGTTTGTCCGTAACAGTGATTTTGAATTTTCTATCAGTTAGACAGCAGTCTTCCGTGACTTTGAGTTTGGTTTCTGGAGAAGTGTCATTTTCTTTTTGTGACACTGTGTAACCGTGAGTTTTCGTGCCGCTTGATGAGTTGTTCCTCTGCTGGTGCCATTAGGTCAAGTTTTGTTTACTTTGATTCTAAGAGTTGGACAGGTTGGAAACTAGAGGCCTTTCTTTTGTTTGCCAGCAGTTGGCGCCGTAGCACACGTGTTTGGCTTCTCTTACCTGAGCTGACTGGCCACAGTTGAGAGCCAGCATGAGCAATAATCTTGGGCCTCAGACATCCATCCCGTCAGCTCATTGTTTGGTCCTCAGAGCCTTCACGTCCACTACAAGCTGCTCAGTTCACTCTCCCTGTTTTATGATTCTTCTCAGGAGCCATTTCTGTGAAGCGACTTCTAAAGAAGTTAGGTATCTCCCCTAACTATTATTTCTCACTTCCACCTAGAGTCGTGTCTCTTTCTTGTTGACAAGCACATTTTAACACTTTACGGGACTGGGTGGCTGCAAACCTTTCTTTGTTGCGTGTCTGCTGAGTTTTTATTTGCTGTTGTTTTTAGTGGGATGTTTTTGTTGTTGTTGCTCTTTTAGATATTAGAGAATAGATTTTGCAAGGCAGCTTTATTCTACCGTAATTCAGAAGTTCCTCCTTATATTGAGTTTCAAGTTGCAGTGAGCTTTGAGTTGAGCTGTACACAATTTTGTAAAGGCCCAAACTCATTTGTCTTGAGCTTTTAATTGTAATTGAATTGAAAAGCAAAACTTTCTACCCCATCTATGATAAGTCGGTGTTCAACCTCTTTTGAATCAGCTCTTTTGAACGGCATTTAAAAAGTTATTTAAATTCTTAAAAAAGATTGGAATAGGTAATGTGGTCACATGATTCAAAATTTAAGCAGAACTACAAAGGACGGAGACAGTGAAAAGAGTCCCCCGCCTGCCCCCAGCTGCCCAGTTCCTGTCCCCAGAAGTGTCTGGTGTTCCTCTCTTATGTCCTCCTGGTGACAACTTATGGCCGTGTGAGCAAATGCAGACACTGTCCCCTGTCTGAACAAACGGGCTTGTTGAGCGCCCCGTTATGCCCTCTGCTCATTCACTTGTCTGTGGTCCATGACTTAAAATATGAAGTAGAGTTTTCCCAGAGGATTTTAAAAGGGAAAGTAAAGGCTAGCCTCAAAAGTGGTTTAGTGACAGAATGAAATAACGTAAAACAGCTGAGTTCACTCATCCCCTATCCAGATAGATCTTAAAACCACAGATGTTGAAAGAAGTAAGGTACAAAGGGACACTTACAGCCAAATTCCGTTAATGTGACTTTCAGAAGTACACAAATAATACATATTTATAGGTACTTGCCAATGTAGTAAACACACGAAACTGCATGGGAGCGCCAAAAGCACTGAGGCTCTTCCTGGGGACAGGGTAGGAGAGCGGTGAGGCGTGGGCTGAGCTGTATGCTTCACGTTTTCTTAACAGAAGAGAGATCCGAAGTACAGATGACTGAATACTGATGTCAGTCTGGGTAGTGGGTAAACGGGTGTCATATTATTTTCTTTGCTTTTCTGTATATTTGAACTAGTTCAGAATTAATTAAAAGAAATAAAAGTAATATCTATTACTCCTTATAGAAAGTGTAGAAACTACAGGAAAGTAAAACGGTAAAAAATAATACATCTATAATAACCTCACTATCCCCACGAGAAAACCCTTTGTAATAATTTAGTATTTTTCCTTGAAGCTTTTAATCCTAGGGGTGTATGCATATGCCGAATACGTGCATTTTTATGACATATATAATGGAATATTATTCAACCATAAAAAAGAAGGCAATTTTGCCATTTGTAATAACATGAATGGACCTTAAGACAGAAAAAGACAAATACATATAATTTCACTTATATGTGGAATCTAAAAAAGCCAAACTCATAGAAACAGAGAGTAGAGTGGTGGTTACTGGGGTGGGAGATGCTTGTCAAAGGGTACAGACTTCCAGTTAGAAGGTGAGTACGTTCTGGGGTCTGAGGTAGCCTGGGCTGATAATGCTGTAGCATGTACTGGGAAGTTGCTGAGAGATCAGAGATTTTAAATGTCCTCACCACAAAAAAGAAAGGGTAATTATGTGAAACGATGGAGGTGTTACCTAAGGTGCTGGTGGTCACCGTGTTGCAAATATATGTCATCAAATCAACACATACACCTGAGAATTATACAATGTTATATATCAATTATGTCTCAATAAAGCTGGGAGAAAATATATGTGTATTTTTACATAGTCAAGACCTGCCATGAATATATAGTTTCTATCCTGCCTTTTTAAAAACTGCATTATAATAAATCATTGTTCTTATGTTATTATAGCTTTATAATCATCACTGTTGTCATAAATATGTTTAATCACTAAATATTACCAAAATGTAGTCATTTCTCTAACATTGAACGTTTAGTTGTTTCTCATTGTAAAGAATGATCCTTTGAGCATTTTTACACCTAAAGTTCTCTTTAGGAGGTTTCACATGCCCCTGACTTGGACTTATCCACAAACTTTGCCCTCAAGGGAGTGAGGACTGATTTTTTTCTTACACACTTTTCTCCCATAGAAGTTACCTTGTCTATGTGATCATTAATCCTGCATTTTATTGTGTATTATTATTAGAGTGCCTTATAGCTGTTCAGAATGTTCCAACAGTGCTGCAGAGCACATTGCAAAGAAAGAGCGCGCCCCAGAAGAGCCCTAAGACTTTATGATGCATGAACAAAACTGCAAACTTCTTTGAAGATTCAGAATGAGAATGGCTGGCACCCCGGGGGGAAAGTTAATACAGGAGTCAGTTATCAACAACATTTCATAGTTGTTTTTTTTTAAAGATTCCTTTCCAGTTGAATGTTAGGCCAATTCCACGTGGATTATGAAAGCAGAATGTTAGGAACCAAACTTACTTGATAAGTCTTGTTTTATATTTTATAATTTTGTGGTGTAATAGTTTACCATGAAAAGATTTTTAGTAAATAAAATATATTTATAGTCCTTCATTTACTAAGAAACAATATAACAATACTTCTAAATTTTAAAATATTGTGTTTCTTGCCATTAGGAAAAACAATGTGGTTTTCTTACTTTTCTGCATTTAAATTTCTTAGGGTCACAAGCCAGTTCTGTTGAGAACTCAGTACCGTTGTCACCCAGCAATCAGCGCTGTCGCTAACGATCTGTTCTACGGCGGAAACCTTAGGAACGGTGTGTCGGAGGCGGAGAGGGTTCCCCTGCGGGCCTGGCTGCCCACGCTGTGCTTCTACCACGTCCCGGGAGCCGAACAGGTGAGTGACGTCGCTGCTGTGGTCGTCAGCACAGCGGAGGTGACTGTTGTTGCTGCGGTTTTCTGGGACCTTCCATAGCCTTTCTGGGAAATGTAATTAGGATCTGGTTTTGATTCCAGATCGAAAGAGGTAACAGCTTTCATAACGCGGCAGAAGCTGCCTTCACACTCAAGCTGATTCAATCACTGATTGCGAGTGGAGTGGCAGGCTCTGCGATCGGGGTGATAACGTTATACAAAGCGCAGATGTACAAGGTTGGTGCTGCATAGATGACTGGTCATAGGTTAAATATTATGACTTTATATTGCAGTGTTTGATACACGTGTCATAGTTTGGTTTGGTGCTTGAAAAACTTAGGACTGTAATTAATGTATTAAAAAAGAAACATTCTGATTTTTGTCTGGTCTGGCTTTTCTTCTGTATAATTAAATGTAAACCTAACAAGGTGTAATTAAATTCAGTTTACAGCTGTTCGGGCAAAAATGCAAATAAACAAATTAGAGGAAAGAACATGTGGTGTATGCTTTGTGTTTGGGGACAGATGGCATGAGTCTGTTTCCCAAAATGTTCTTTCATTACTATTGCATTTTATTAGCAACTCAAAGATAGATACCAGATATTAGTGTACACATGAGCCAGTTACTTCCAACTAGTTTTTATGTTTTTTCAATTTTTTGTGTGTTTTTCATGTTTCATTATTAACTTATTAACTAAATTAGCATATCCAAAAGAGTTCCCCAGGAACAGATAAATCATCCCTGGATTGTGTTTCGTGGTTTATATCGTCGTCCTGTTATTTACCTATCATTTCAGAAACTAGCCAAACCTATGCAAGTCACCAGAAAAAATGAAAAGCCACCGTCACTTAACATAGGGTGGCTGCGTGCGGAGGGTCGGGCTGAGGCTCCCCGTGACCCTCGGGCCGTGTGACCCCTCTCTCTTCCCTCCACAGCTCTGCCATTCGCTCAGCGCGGTGGGCTCCGACCAGCCTGATGTGAGAGCAGTGCAGGTGTCCACAGTGGATGCTTTCCAAGGAGCCGAAAAGGAGGTCATCATTCTGTCCTGTGTGAGGACAAGACAAGTGGGGTTCATCGACTCAGAAAAGAGAATGAATGTTGCGTTGACCAGAGGAAGGAGGCACTTACTGATCGTGGGAAATTTAGCCTGTCTGAGAAAAAACCGCCTGTGGGGGCGAGTGATCCAACATTGTGAAGGTAAAAAATAAAAATGCGTTTCAGTTAGGCGTTTTGAATTAAAACTGGCTTTTCGGCTGAGTTTGCCCCAGGGGAGATGACTGAGCTGACCAACAGGGGCATTACAAAATCTAGCTGTCTCATGCTTTGTGTCTTTTTAAGGAAGGGAAGATGGACTGCAGCACGCCAGCCAGTGTGAACCACAGCTGAACCACCTACTTAGGGATTATTTTGAAAAACAAGCAGAAGAAAAACAGAAGAAAAAGAGTGAAAAAGACAAATGTAAAGATAAACCTCATTTACAGAAAGGCATGGTATAGATCTTTTGTATTTATAGAAATTCACATTCATTTTACATGATATATTTTTTATATTTTTATTACCCCAAAACCCTTGTTATTGAAAAAAATACTTTATGATATTTAAATAACATTAAATGCATATTAAAAATTTGCTTTTCACAATAGGGTACATTATTTATATTAAGATAGGCAGATGTTGAAGGTACTATATAACATCTTACTAATGAAAATACTTTTTTTTTCTAAAAACTGCCTTGTGGTGGCCAGCCGAGTGGCTCAGTTGGTTAAGAGCTCGCTCAAGAGTGTGAGCTCTGAGCAACAGCAGTTCGAGTCCCGGCCCGAGCTGAGCTGCCAACAGGTGGCAGGATGGCTCAGCTCAAACAAACAAACAAACAAACAAAAAACTGGCTTGTGTTTGCTAAGAAAATGAATTTCATAAGGGGCAGGAGGAAAAGCCTTCATGGCGTTTTCAATGTTCTTCAAAAATAAGTGGATATCTGGGCCAGCCAAATGGCTTGTTTGTTAAGAGTTGGCTTGGGAGCGCCAGCTCTGAGCAGCAGGGTCCCGGTTCGGATCCCATATGAGGGCCAGTGACACAGCACCCTTTACAGCTAAGATGGTGAACAACAGCTCAACCTGGAGCTGGGCTCCCGTGAGTCACCGGCGATGGCATAGGCTGCAGTGGGGCTGCAGTGGGCTGCCGTAAGCTACCGTGAGTGGCTGGCATCCAGTGTGAGCTGCGGTGAGCAGCCGTCTAATGCTGGCGACCCATCTGCCTCACCTGGGAAGAGCGCAATGATAATACCAACATGGGCCAGTGAAGCGACGTCCTCCACAACTAGACTGAAGAACAAAAGGACAGCAACTTGTCTGTTCCCCTCCCCTGATTCCCCAATAAAATCTTTTAAATAAATAAATAAGTAGATATCTCAAAGCTCGTCTGCCAGCATGTGGTTCACAGTGACACCAACACCCTCCTACTGAGCTGCAACTCCACCTGAGTCTTCTAAAAATAAATATAATGCCTGGTCATTTTATAACTAAAAACCTATTCACAATAAAACTTAAGAAATATAAAAGGAAGAAGAAAAACACTAAAAGTTTACTCCTGGAGACAGCAGTGTCCAGCAACCAGGCCCGGACTCAGAGAGTGTCTGTTGGACAAACGAACGAGTGAATGAATGAACCTTTGGTTCATTTCCTTCTTTTTCCTGTGCATTTATTTGCACAGTAATTGGTATATAATGGATTACTACAAAAAAGAATACACTCTGGTTGTAGAAAATTTGCAGAATTCACAAGAGATGACAACAGAAACAAGGAAGCAGCGGGAGATGACCGCCCAGAACTAGTCACTGCTAGCGCTGTCAGCCCCACTCCTAACACAGGAGCATTTCCTGCACTGTGGGGAACGGCCAGGGCCTGGTTATAGTCAATACCAGCGAGGTCTTGACCGGTTAAAATCCTTCACTGCAGTCAATTGCTCACTTGAGTTACTTCCCAGTGAAAACGCCCAGTCTGCCGCCACAGCACTCTTTTATGTTTGGGAGAAAAGTGAGTCCGACAAACCAAACCCGTCCTGACCATCCAAGCTTGGCTGCAACAGCAGCGGCCCTTTAAGTGCCCAACCGGCAGTGACAGACGTGACTGTCGCAGGTCCCTTAGGCCAGCTGAGCTGCGGTCCACTTGACAACGCGTTTAAACTGCATCCCTGAGTTTCACTGCCCAAGCCTCCCCTTTTTCCATCTCTTAATTTTGAGTCAGTCCTTGGCCAGCCAGAGCTGGGCCTCCAGGAATTTTTTCCAAGAAGAGTATTTCTGTAACATGGCCTTTGAGGCTCTGTGTGGGGGCCTATTTCTGTGGCGAGCACTTGGGGCGCTGCCTGGGGACCGTGGGAAGCACCCCTGCCTCACACCCTGTGCATTTGATGAAGCGAGTCTCCGTCTCAGATTGACAGCTGGATGGCAGAGCTGGTCTAAGTCCTACTGGTTTTCATGTAAAACAGCTCAGACTCACTCAGCTGCCACACTGTGGTGGTGCTGTCATTAGTTCCTCCATCCACCCCGCCTCCTGTCACTTTTCAAGAAACTTTGATTTCTGCCACTGCAGGAAGAGGTCTAACGGTGCAGAGCGGGACTTCAGCACCCTCAGCTGTGGCTGGAGAACTCTGTGGTGGGGCTGCCCGGTGCCTTGGGGGGTTTAGCAGCATCTCCGGCCTCCACCCAGCAGGTGTCAGTTGTTCTTTGTCCCCAAGTTGTGACATCTGAAAAGGGCCCCAGACGTTGCCAAATGACCTGAGTAGAGGGTGGGCCCAGCATCCCGGCTGCCCCATTTGCTGGTTGATATCAAGCTGGTGTTTTTGATCCAGGCAACAGGTAAGGGTATTTGAGTTTATGGGGCCATGCCCGCCCCGTCTCTCATGGGTTGCCCGGGCAGTTCACCAGTTAGGTTTTCAGTCCAGTTTCATCATGTTTGCAGTTCATGACATCCCAACCCTGACAACAGGTCACTGTGAGTGTCCAATATTTATCATATGTGTCTTCATAGTTACTTTAATATGAGAGAGGCTATTGAAAACTTTTTCAACAGCAACGCATTGGAGTCTTTAGAACTTCCCACTCATTCAATAATCTTGTCTAGAACCTAACAGGGACAGCTGTTACGGTATAGATGGTGGTTAAGAGATTGGTCATAGCATTTTTGCTAACGGGCAGCTATATCTTATAATTACATACCTAATTGTTTCCTAACATAGTATATATACATAGTTTTTTTCTTCTTGAAGGCAAAATCTTTTCTGATAAGTTAAAATTCAGTTATTTTTCTTTTTACCCTTTGACCCCTCCACCTGTTTCTCCTACCCCAGCCTATGCCAGCCACCAACCAGCCTCTTCTTTGTATCTGTAAGATTTTTTGTTTTTGTTTAGATTCCACATGTAATTGAGTTCATACAATTATCAGTCTTTCTCTGACTTGTTTCACTTAGTGGAAAGCCCTCGTAGTCCATCCATGTCACCGACGGCAGGGCTTCATTTCTCACGGCTGAGTGATGTTCCACTGCGTGTATACGTCCTGTACGTACCGTATCTTCTTCCATTCACCCACCACGGGCACCGAGGCTGTTTCCATGTCTTGGCCCTTGTGAACAATGCTGCAGTGAACTTAGAGTATAATTAACAGAGTTCTAAAACCTAATGAACAGAAACCATTAGTGTTGTAGAATTACTTCTGGGCCAAGCCTTTCATATGAAGCAGTCTTTTACACCAGGCACCTCAGAAAAGAACAGAAGTAAGTGCAGCGTGGGACAGGGAGGGAGAGATGCAGTTGGCTCAGTCACGGCTCCGTTGCCCCCCACCACCAACCTCTCCCCTCTGCCCAGGGCACATTTGCAGTCCAGGCTTTCTTCCCGCCTGTGGTTTTTCCTCTGGCTCTCTTTCTGGTCCTGGAGAGAGACCTGTCTGGACCAGGTCCCAGCGTCACCCCAGGGGGAACGTCTGCTGCCGCAGGTCTGGTGTGTGTGCAGCGTCCGACCTTTACCGGTCCTCGCCCCAGCCTGTCCATCAGCATCAGGCTGCCCCGAGTCGTCCTTCCAAGGCTGTTAGACAGAAATGCGGTGAGCGGAGGTTCACTCACTCTCTCCTTCAGAGACCCTGTGAGACCCCAGGAGCCACTGACCTTAAAGATTGATTTACGAAAACACTGATCAGGTGGCTGTGACCATTGTAGCATTGTCTGGGTCATGATGTGTTTGGGGCAAAACCTTATCTGAACCCTGAATATTCGGATGGCCTCTGTTTCTGTCTTCACAGAGGAAAAGGCCATAGCAATATTTAATATAGAAAAATCTCCAAAATCCAGACTAACACCTGCTTTATCTTTTTTATCTCAGATTCCAACGTTGGACAGACACAAATTGAATTTTGGGGAGTATCCCATTCAATCAACAAATCTCATGATTTCACACTATACTCAAAGTACCAAACCAGTTTTATAACTAGAGCCTTCACATATCTATAGATAGCAACAATTAAAACTGGCCCTCCATCTCGTGTTCGGGAAGTGATAGAATTAGATAGCAGCGTTCTCTAGATTTTTATTTACAGAAAAGGTCTGTGCATCACACTGCAATAGAATGACTTTTCTAGGCTTTTGTCTGTTCATCAGTTGCCTTTGCTTTACAGAATAAGTGTGTTGGGTTTTTTTCCAGGATTCTTTCACAATAATGTAAAAATTCTTTTACATTAACCCCTAGTGAGGAGGACAGGTGCTTTCCCCGTTTTAGAAATGATGAAGACAAGGGTCAGAAATGGGAGTGGTCACCAGAACCAGGCCCAGGGGGGGCCGGAACCCAGCCCGCTCCCTGAGGCTCAGCTGTGCTGCACACCCACACGGCGAGGCTTTAGATTATGTCACCAACAGGTGGAAGGCCCAAACCCTGCAATCCTGTCTGACCTGACCAGAATCACTGCCCGATAATTGGCCTTGGTTAATTTATTAATAACAATTTATTAGCCATTTATTATTTGAGCCATCTGTACTCCCCTGGTAAATACATTTTACTAGAGAAGTGGGGTTGGCTGCTTCTCTGAAGGTCTGTGTTTACTACTAGGAGACCCAGTTTGCTACTTGTTGGAAAACTGATTTTTAACAAAAATGTATTAAAAGCTAAAAATATATGTTTATATTTAAAAATAATGTTTCATGCTCTGCAGCCAACCTCATCCTTGAGAACATACATTTCAATATTTGAGTTACTTGTGAAAAATCACAATTTAAAATCTGAGATTGTGAAGCCCCAGTTTGAAACTTCATAATAAAATATAACTTTTGGTATTGTTCTTTAATAGCGGAACAAAAAGAGTGTTTTGATTTGGAGATGCCAAAGCAAATCCCAAGTGCTGCTTGTTCTTGGCTGTTTAATTTAAAGACAGCTGTGAAATAGCTTTATACTAACTCAATTTTTTATATTAAATAAGACTTAAGTGGAAATTGGTGATTTACTTGACAGATACTGGACCCTTAAAATTAAATAATTGTTCTAAAAACATGATCTCAACGCTGATTTGAAAT